AGCTGGGTCGCTGGTCACGGCGGGGGTCGGTGGCACGAGGTTCAAGTCGTAGCCCTGCACGAAGTCCTTGAACTTCGAGTGGACCCCATGGTCCACCTCTGTAGCACCCTCGCAAGAGGTCTGGCTATGTACTCCCTTCTCGTGGGTCACCTGGATCTCCTGCATGCATGCAGAGCAGGAGAAAGCAGAGGACGAAACAAAAAGAACACACGACGGGCCTTGAAAACGTAGTAAGTGGTGCCGTCCTCCGTGACCTGCCTGACTTCGCCGGTTTGCAGGGCTTGGTCCAGCCCTTGCTGGCCACCACACAAAGCCTTGGCTCTGGTCAGGGTGTAGCCCAGGGCCTTGTCCTTGCCCTTGACACTGTCGAACTTCTGGTGAGTTTCCTTCCACCAGGCGTTCTCCAAGCACAGCTCGAACCGTCCTCCTTTGCCTCGCTTCACCAGGCGGTTCACGGCGTCCGTCGTGTCCTGGCGACCGCACTTCTCGAGGTAGCTGAGAAGTTCCTCCGGAACGTTGCCAGCCTTCTTCCTCTTCTGCAACCAGCGGTTCTTGCAACGGTCTCGGCTGCCCTGCTCTTCGGCCTCGTCGTCCTGGCCGCCCTGCTGCTCGGCCGGCTCCTCCTTCTCCAAGTCGTCGGCGAACTTCACAAGGTCGCCAGCAGTGAGCTTCCTCTTAGGCGTCTCGGTGGGGGTGCTGCTGTCGCCCTCTTTGCTCTCCGACTTCTCGGCCCCGTTCTTGGGCTTGGCACCGTTCTTGGGCTTTGCCCCGTTCTTGGGCTTGGCCTCGGTCTTGGGCTTGGCCCCAACCTTGGTGTCGGGCTCGGTCCGGGGCTCTCCTTCCTCTTCTGCAGGCTCTTGGCTTGCAGGCAGCTCCTGCTTGACCTGGACTTCTGCAGCCTTGGCCTTAACTTTGGCCTTGGCTTTGGCCTTGGCTTTGGCCGTAGCTTTGGCCTTAGCTTTGGCCTGAGCCTTGGCCTGAGCTTTGGCCTTGGCTTTGGCCTTGG